TCTTTTCTCTTTCTTCTCCCTTGCATCTCATTGTGCATTTGCATGATTTCAGTAGAAAACTGCGACCGCGAGCCAAGCAGCCTCCTCGCACAGTCTCCCTCTCCAACCCTCCCTCTTCTCGTCCCTTTTCTCACTACACATCATCCTCCCTCTCCTCCTCCACCTCTTCCTCTCCTCCCTCCCAACGTCACTCTGGCGACCGGGAGGAGCGTCTTGTGACTGGAGCTGATTTGGGTCGTGCGGCGTTCCTCGGAACCACCAGTTGCTAAGGGGGTGTGGCCTGGGATGAACGACGGAACCTAGTAAGTACATATTAGTGACACACGAAGCAAGCCTATCTAGTCGATCTGAATGCCAGGATTTTCTACATATTATGTGACAAGGGAAATACACGTACCGTATGTCTCATAATACGTGACTCCAAAATACGTACGAAAAACTGCCATGTGTCTAGAGCCTCCATCGTCCATAAGAATTATATAGGGGTTATTATCGAGGCGCTAATACTTTATACATGAAATTCTGGCATCCAACCGTTTAAAACACTGCAGTGCAAAACCTTTTAACCCCTGGCTCATTACCTTTAACCCCTAGCTCTGCCTCATTAACTTTAACCCCTGGCTCATTAACTTCAATCCCTTTAACCTTCAACTCTTTCACTCTCCTCTCCTCTGCAGTGGAAAGAACGATGGGTCGTGAAGGGACATCGCTACTTCGCTGCAAGCCTTCTCACGGACTGTTTGTCAAACCAGAGAAAGCCACTCATCGAGGAATCAACTGCTCCAAGATCCTCCCTAGCTCCTGCCTTGAGAACAACTCTTAACATTGTGTTTATGATGTCATCATTATGTAATGTATGTTGTCAACTATCTTCCAATGAACTTAGTGCTAGTGCACTTGGTACATGTTACCCTGGCAACGATGCATTATGAGGTATATATAGGTTTGTAGTAACACCCACCATTAGCAATACTGCCACTATACAAACTTGCACAAATTTGCTGTGCTGTACTTTCCAGTGCTTACACAAGGCTTTCCTAAAAAGGGTGGCATAATTATCCATTGTGCTGTAGTTACTACAGAGACATGTACCAAGTAGGTTTGATGATGGCTCTATTCGTGCTGCCCGCTCATAGAGCATACTTGCCATCATCAAACCTATACATAAATAATACCATTTGCATATCAACCACACATAATGAATAAAACTACGTGTGAATTTTAAAACTGTCAGATTACGTAATTATTTCAAGATCGTCCCATAGGAGAGAAATTGTTTTTATAAAAGACAGTATTATACATAAAATTAGGAGTGCTGATAACAACACTAATTAACACAAATATTATAATGCATAATGCATGAGTCATTACAAATGAGAACAAAATATGCTAGCTAATTAATAGGAATAATAATGTGATGCAACTGCCAAAAAACCATAATAAAATGGACCATTTTTGTTACAACCATGATCGAAGTACAATTAAACAACGTTACATCATAGACTACAGTGGTAGGAAAAGGGGTGTGGTCTAAAGATCGACTGTTATGATAAATGTATGGATGGCAGTAGCATTGGGTGTTCTAGAATATCTGAACTCTGTTGTTATCATAGTCACATACATGTATAAAACCATCAACACAAGAGGTGATACAGAATGGACCACGAAACTCTCCCTCTTTCTGACCACACCTTCCAAATGAGGTGACAAACTGACCTGAGGTCTCATACACTACAATACAATTACCACTCCAATCAGACACATACACATACTTGTCAGGGAATATGAAGACCTGATGGCGCACGCAGTTTTCCCTCTCCTTCCTGACCAAATACTCCACTGGTGTCCATTACTTGCACTCTCCCATTACTAAACTCAGCTACATACATGTTCCCGGCAGTGTCAAATTTGACATCAAGTGGTGCATCGAATTCACCTCTTCCTTTGCCACGTGAGCCAATGGATCGGACAAAGTTCAAGTCGAGGTCAAACACCTGAATGCGATGGTTATCACTATCACACACATACACTTGATTGTCATACAGTGTCACTCCACGTGGATCATCAAACTCCCCCTCCTTACTGCCCCTCCGACCAATACATTTGATCAGTTCACCACTGCTAGTAAACTTCTGCAGCTTGTGGTCACTGCTCACATAAATATTGTCAGTATCACCAGTTGCTATGCCTGCAGGGTATTTCATCTGATCTGGACTGTCACCACGTGATCCAAATGTTCCGATTTTCTGTCCTCTGATGTCAAAGATAGACACTCTATGACCAACACGACCGAAACATTCACTGACAATCATCTCCTGATGACTGTTGAAGGCAATGCCATATGGACGGTCCAATCCAGTCACAGTCCTCACTGGGTGGCCTAGTTGTCTGGGGTCAGGGTACACGGTCACAGTGAAGGGGCTGCCATTGATTTCTCTGTCGTTGACTTGAACATGGAGTTTTGTGTTGGCCTCGACTGACTGGTGTGTACGACACCTCGTATTGGGAGGGAGACGTCATGACAACCAATACCTGTTTTTCCGGCTGTTTCTTCGACCAAGGCCACCTTGATCGAGTGGGTGTGGCTTTGGGTGTATTTGTGGGTGTGGCTTTTGAAACGAGCTCAAGTGAGGGAGGTTTTCTAGACCGCGGCCATCTACTAGTGGGCATCGTTTTTTCTGTTACAGTAACTACGGGTGGACTAGTCGGTGTGGTTTTTGTGGTGTGGCTGTTGAAACGACTCAAGTTGTGCGTGACATTCAGTGGAAGTGAGTATGGTCTACCACTAGAGTCAGTTAGTTGGACTAGGACGTGTGTTGGTTGGTTGACTGTGGCTGATGTTAGACCAGGTCCACTGACCGACATGTGTAAGAGTGCTGGGACAGACAGAGAGCGAAGAGTGAATAACAGTGAAAACCTTGTGTTTGGCAAACTATAAGGCAATGTCTAACATGGCTATGTATAGTTATAGCAATAGAGCTGCGAAAAGATAACGCTACCTTATACTCAGACTTGAAGGAAAAAATCGAGTCCAGCATTGCCTAACACACACTATCTTTGAAGAATCTCCATCGTTGTCACATGCTCAATGCCCGATCGACAACGTACAAGACTGCAAGTCAAAATGAATTCAGTGCTATGAGTTAAACCAAACTGGGTTGGATCCAAAGAGCTCGTACCAGTTCAGGTGCAGAGCAATAGTGTTTAAACACAAGATTACCCCAAGGCTCTTCCATGGACGAGGCCACAACTGTTTAGAGATATGCAATGTGTACACCGTTCAAATTCGGTGCAGCTTTAATAGCAAACGAGCGTTACTTTCTCTCTGGTAGGCCAAGTGAGAGTCCAGGGAAGACGTTGACAGGGACAGTGGTAAAGGGACGTAAAGGGAGGAGGGAAGGGCGCTGGAGGTGTGACAATGGGACTTACCTTGACCGGCACCTCCCAAACCCAGGGGAGTCTGCTGCAACATGCGTATGTCATTGCATGCAAATTAGACACCAGAAACTTCAGAAGATTGAGAAGTCACGCATCCACAAAAACAATACCATTATTGCAAATTACGAGCTCGCTAAGTAAGAAATTAAAAAGTGGTCTACTGCCACAATGAATGCTATTTCGGTTGCTTTTGAGTCCAGAAAGACTGTCGATGCGCATGACAAAGAGAGGGAAATTTGCGACCATTTTACTCACATTCCCTTATAGTTACCACACATACGTCTCTACACATTCGGTGCTTGAAAGTAGAGCTATACTGATATCATATTATAGCCAGACTGACTGAGCGTATGCCAGGCATGACTGACCTTTTCCCCCAGTTGCTGCTGAAGCGGAGCTATCTCCCTGTCCTTGGCCTGCACTAACTCAGTCTCCTGCAGTCAGGAGGACCTCTAGTCACAACACACAACTCCACCACACACTAGACTGACTCTCTGTCTCATCTCCTGAATCTGCTGCTGCTCTCTCCTGATAGTCTCCTCTGCCCTCGTCACCTCTGCTCTTTTCTCGCCACTCTGTCATCACTGCAGAACGTAAGAGGGGAATGTGGCTAGCTCTTTGCCTAGGCTGAATTCTCACGTTTCTTGCAGCTCTTGTCGAGTGTCTGCGATCTCCCTCTCAGTTGCTTGCAATGTTTCCTCCTGCGATCAACACACAGCATCACGACTTGTGACTAAACGTCTGCTACTATTCATCCTTGACTCACGAGTCTCTCACTCTGTTCTACGTGCCGAGTGCAGCTAGTCATCTCCGTGTCTCGTCAGATCTGCTGTCTTATTCTTGTCAGCTCTTGTCTGAGCGCTTGCTTCTCCCTCTCACTTTCCTCATCCTACAACAGTCAACATAGTGAAGTATATTCCCTAAGTCTGCTATACACTGTGCTCTATACCTTCCGAGCAATCTCCCTGTCCCTGTCTGTGAGCTCTTGTCGGAGTGTCTGCATCTCCCTCTCAGTTGCTTGCAAATGTTCTTCCTACGATCACAAAACAACACAACACTTATCGTCTTAAAGGCTCACATTACGTCTCAATTGCTGCTGTGCTGCAGCTAACTCCGTCTGCACACGAGACTGGAGATGAGCATTCTCTGTCACCAGGTCTCGGAGAACACGCTCCAAATTCTGGTAGAATAACAAGAGTTTTTGTCAACACATCATCTCATACCTAATGAAAAGCACTGAAGTGCAAACCCTCGGCGTATTATGACGCGCACGCGTAAGTAAACGCATGCGCCGTACCACTAATTGATGGGCTGGGTTTAGTTTTAGCTGTTACTCGTGGTCTCTTGCCAGCTCGTGCAGAGTCTGACGCGGGCTAACTACACTACTAGATAGCATGCGAGAGGCGATACACGCCCTGCGTTGCATCTTCTGGTGCCTCCGAGGTACGCAGAGCACGCGGATCGATCATACCGTAGTAAGCCGTTGTGTATTTGCATATTGGCTTTTTAGCGCTCCAGCTTTGCAACGGAGCGTTTTCAGCGAAATCTGTTCGAAATTTCTGACCTTCATTGCCCGTTCAGTAGGTGGTATCCTTTGTGAGACGAACGAACACTCGAGAAGTGAGATGACGAGTAACAGACAGACACACACAAACCCAACTACCGTAACCCTCGCTGCAGATGCGCGCCGAGGGTTAATGAGTGTACAGTCCCTCACCTGGTTCCTGGGCTGGGTCTGAAGAGCTCGTACCAGTTCACGTTTGTTCCTCTCACTCCCTTCATCTCTAAAACCAGCTCTGGCCTCCTCCAACAGACGAAGGACTTCACGAATACCTGGCCTCTTGGAAGGGAAATTTTGCAGGCATTGCTGGATCAGCCGAATGAGAGGGTGGTCCCCACGGAGCTGGCCACAGGCACGGAGTTGCTCGTTTACATATCGCATGTATTCAGCGCGTCGCTGTAGTTCAGTGCGACCTAACAGCACTCCACTCTTTTCGTCAAAGTAGTTGGGCTCTAGAGGATCGCAGGGAAAGACTTCACCGATTGTGAAAATGGTGACAACTCCAAGAGAGAAGACATCGATGCTGGCATCGTATTTCGACTTTTCGGTATTCGATCGAGTTGGTGCAAAAGCCTCTGGAGGCATGTAGACTAAGGCCCCAGGTCCCTTTGTCATGGTGGCTGCAGCTCTCACGCGAGGAACGATACGAGCCACGCCCAGGTCCGCTATCTTGGCCACCATCTCCGAGTCCAGGAGAACGTTTCTGGCCGACAAGTCGCGGTGGATGACGGGCGATGATCGCTCGTGGAGGTAGGCTAGGCCACACGCTACGTTGTGTAGTACGGAGCACTTGAGAGCCATGGAGAAGAAAGATAGCGGTGTGACGGCGCCGGACGGAGGGGGCGTGTCCGGAGCCAGCAAGTCGTGAAGACTCGTCAGCAGTCGCTCCATGACGAGGGCTGGCAGTCGCGAGCCGGGTAAGAAAGCGACGCCCAGAAACTGGACGATGTTCGGGTGGCGGAGGGTGCTCATAAGTTGGCATTCCCTCACGAACTCGGTCGCGGCCTTAGGCAGTTCGGCGGTCGTTGCATCCCCTTCTTGCAAGATGGGGTAGATTGTTTTGGCGGCGGCGCCCACAGAAACGACCACTTCATCCACTTTGCCGTAAGCCCCACCGCCGATTCTGGTTCCAGTGCGGTGGACGTCGGAGAGAACGAACGGCCTCAGCCCTGGATGATCGCGGAGAAACTCTTCAGCCATGTTTGTGATTGTAAGAATACGAGCCCCACCCTAACATTGTGCGCATGCGTGTCCAACCCGGTCGTTCAGCCGCGCCGCAGGAGAGAGTGGGGTGGTTGCCAGCGCGCCTCTGCCATTAGCAAAAGATTGATCGTTGAGTCGTTGCGTATCAAAAATGTGTGTGCATCTAGCGGACAGTGTCCAGTGAGCTGATGATATAATTATAGAGCTCTATAATAATAGTGTGCAGAAAGTGTGAATGGGTGTTACAGATATTGCTTGGTGTGTTATCGCAGAAAAAAAAATCAAGTATTCTGTACAAATATAAAAAAAACGACTGTATTCTGTACAGAAATCAAAATACTATTTTCTGTATAATTATTCAAAAATCAAATTCTGTATTCTGTATAAAAAATCAAAATGGCTACACAAAAATCTCAAAATGACTGTATTCTGTTGTTGCCACTGTCACATACGTGTATAAATCCATCGACGCATGTATTGATACCGCGTAGTCCCTGGAACTCACCCTCCTTGGTACCATCCCTTCCAAACGCAGCGACAAACTGACCCGAGGTGTCGTAAATGGCGATGTAGTGACCGCTGAGATCGGACACATACACGTATCGGTCAGCAATCGTAAGACCCGATGGTCGACTCCCTTCGCGACCAAATTCATGTTTGAACTTGCAATTGCCGTCCAATACTTGAATCCTTCCGTTCCCCCATTCTGCCACGTACATGTTCCCAGCGGTGTCGAACCAGACGTCTTGGGGCTCGTCAAACTCCTCGCGTCCCTCTCCGTGCGAGCCGATGGATCGGACAAAGTTCAAGTCGAGGTCAAAGACTTGAATGCGGTGGTTGTAAATGTCGCACACGTACAGCTGATCGTTGTGTACCGTCACGGCACGCGGGTCTGCAAATTCCCCTTCACTTCTTCCGGTTCTGCCAATGCGTTTAATCAGCGCCCCAGTGGCGGAGAATTTCTGAAGCTTGTTTTTGCTGGTCACATAATTTTGCCTGCACAGTCAATAGCTACGCCCTTCGGTGAATCTGAAATGGCACCGTGGAATTTGCGGACGTTCCTTCTTTGGGCGTCAATGATGGACAACGTATCACCGTTACTTTCGGTGACAATTATGTCGTTGTCTTTGTTGAATGTCATTCCGTACGGCCCACTCAGGCTTGTATAAACACTCACTGGGTGGCCTAGTTGTCTGGGGTCAGGGTACACGGTCACGGTGAAGGGGCTGCCATTGATTTCTCTGTCGTTGACTTGAACATGGAGTTTGTGTTGGCCTCGACTGACTGGTGTGTACGACACCTCGTATTGGGAGGGAGACGTCATGGCTACTTGTAGGTTGATTCTGGATGGAGTGGTGGGTGCGGTTTCTGAAACAGGCTCGAGGCGTGCTGTGACTTTGGCTGTGTTGGAATAGAGCGTAGGGCTGTAGTCACTCGGTTGGACTAGGACGTGTGTTGGGTGGTTGACTGTGGCTGATGTTAGACCAGGTCCACTGACCTGCAAGGGAGGCTCCTACAGGAATATTAGGGAATAGGATTGTGAAGAAGGGCAATAGTTGACACCGATACAAGGTGGACGCCTTTATCAACTATGTATGTCAGCCTCAGCTGTCATTGAAAAGCAAAAAGCAGTGAAATGGATACCGTTGATATTGCCAGGGTCACAAACTATCCCTCCTACGCCTAAAGCATAAGACACAGCATTGTAGGTGGAGGTCCTAGTTTACTATATTTCCGGTATCCCACGGGATGTGGGAATCTCACTACTATCTTAATATGGTGGTAGAAATTTGATATCACCTAATATTATTATAGTACTATATATTCCCAATCTGTGTGTGGCTTTGCACATGTCCAGGCCCTGGAATTGAGCACGAGGAATGTACCTAATTGTGCTTCAGACTTCGTGGCATCCTTATTATACACACAATATTTATATTACGTCTCAACAACTTGGTAGTGAGGTATATAGAAAGGCAAGGCAAGGCAAATAAGTCAGGACAGCTAGTCAACTACACCCAGGACAGCTCTGTCTTTATGCACACCTAAACCAGCTGAACCCAACAATAATTCTCATATTATGCTTCCTTACGGTACCAAACGGATGTTTTATTAAAATTATGGAATAATTATGGTGAAATGATTTCAGGCTGGTATGAGAACATAAAGATAGAGGAACATCGTGCAGAGAGAGTTGGCTATCGTGCGTTCATGTTGAGAATGATCTTTTAAAAAGAGGGCTTTTCTTTCTTAAGTAAAAAGTATGCATTGAATGTATATAAAAAACCAAGACCAAAGGAAAGGAATCTTGAAGAACTATTTATACATCGAGCAATTCGAGAAAAATCAACATGCACATTCTCAAAAAAAGTCACATACCGGGACTTTGGCCCTCAGTGTGTCCAGTTGCTGTTGCAGTACAGCTAACTCCCCGTCTTGCCCCTCCACCCTGGACTGGAGCTCTGCAATCTCTTTCACCATGTGTCGCAGGATACGCTCCAAGTTCTGATGCAAATTTTGGCTTCGCTAAATCATTATTTCGCTGTCTGAATGCAAGGATGTGATATTATGTGACGGGCAATACACGTACCGTAATGTTCTACGTGATTCTAAATACGTGTGAAAAACTGAAAGCCATGTGTCCAGAGCCTCCATAAGTCCATAAGAATTTATATGGGGTTAAGGCGCTAATACTTTATACATAAAATTCTGCTTATTTAAGGAGGAGATACCCATGGCATCCAAACCGTTTAAAACAACACTGCAGTTTTAACCCCTGGCTCATTAACTTTAACCCCTGCCTCATTAACCCCTTCAACTCTTTCACTCTCTCTCCTCTGCAGATGGAAAGAACGATGGGTCGGTGAAGGGACATCGCTACTTTCGCTGCAAGCCTTCTCACGGACTGTTTGTCAAACCAGAGAAAGCCACTCATCGAGGAATCAACTGCTCCAAGATCCTCCCTAGCTCCTGCCTTGAGAACAACTCTTAACATTGTGTTTATGATGTCATCATTATGTAATGTATGTTGTCAACTATAGTCCAATGAACTTAGTGCTAGTGCAGGTGTATTATGTGGTGCATGGTGGCCCACTTGGTACATGTTACCCTGGCAACGATGTCATTATGATTATTGGTTTGTAGTAACACCACTCAGCACATTAGCATACTGCCCTATACAAACTTGCTAGCTGTAACAAATTTGCTGTCATATACTGTCAAGGAAGGCTTTCCTAAAAAGGGTGGCATAATTATCCATTGTGCTGTAGTTACTACAGAGACATGTACCAAGTAGGTTTGATGATGGCAGTAGCTCTATTCGGGCTGCCCGCTCATAGAGCATACTTGCCATCATCAAACCTATACATAAATAATACCATTTGCATATCAACCACACATAATGAATAAAACTACGTGTGAATTTAAAAAACTGTCAGATTACTGTAATATTTCAAGATCGTTGCATAAGAGAGAAATATTTTAATGAAAGACACAGTATTACATGAGTGCTGACTACAAGACTAATTAACACGAATAGTATAATACATGAGTTATTACAAATGAGAACAAGAGACGGACTACAAAACATGCTAATTAACGAAATGATGAAATTATTATGTGATTCAACTGTCACATCATCACAATGGTTTACAGAGAACTGCACCATTAACACATTGTTACAAACATGAAGTACAATATTAAACACTGAAGCACACAATTTTTAGACGCCTTATTATGCTACAATAGACGATAGTGGATACAATTACATGAAACATGGGATAATAAGGCATTGTGGTTATATAATGTGTCTGAAGACGTGTTAAGGAGAGCAACAAGTGGTAGGAAAAGGGGGTGTGGTCTAGAGATTGACTGTTATGATAAATGTATGGATGGCAGTAGCATTGGGTGTTCTAGAATATCTGAACTCTGTTGTTATCACAGTCACATACATGTATAAAACCATCAACACAAGAGGTGATACAGATGGACCACTGAAACTCTCCCTCTTTCTGACCACACCTTCCAAATGAGGTGACAAACTGACCTGAGGTCTCATACACTACAATACAATCACCACTCAATCAGACACATACACATACTTGTCAACAATATGAAGACCTGATGGCCCACGCAGTTTTCCCTCTCCTTCCTGACCAAATACTCGTATGAATTGGCCACTGGTGTCCATTACTTGCACTCTCTCATTACTAAACTCAGCTACATACATGTTCCCGGCAGTGTCAAATTTGACATCAAGTGGTGCATCGAATTCACCTCTTCCTTTGCCACGTGAGCCAATGGATCGGACAAAGTTCAAGTCGAGGTCAAACACCTGAATGCGATGGTTATCACGATCACACACATACACTTGATTGTCATACAGTGTCTACTCCACGTGGATCATCAAACTCCCCCTCCTTACTGCCCTCCCGACCAATACATTTGATCAGTTCACCACTGCTAGTGAACTTCTGCAGCTTGTGCTCACTGCTCACATAAATATTGTCAGTATCATCAGTTGCTATGCCTGCAGGTTGTATCATCTGATCTGGACTGTCACCACGTGATCCAAATGTTCGGATTTTCTGTCCTCTGATGTCAAAGATAGACAATCTATGACCCCACATTCACTGACAATCATCTCCTGATGACTGTTGAAGGCAATGCCATATGGAGGTCCAATCCAGTCACAGTCCTCACTGGGTGGCCTAGTTGTCTGGGGTCAGGGTACACGGTCACAGTGAAGGGGCTGCCATGATTTCTCTGTCGTTGACTTGAACATGGAGTTGTGTGTTGGCCTCGACTGACTGGTGTGTACGACACCTCGTATTGGGAGGGAGACGTCATGGCAACCGATACCTGTTTTTCTGGCTGTTTCTTTGACCAAGGCCACCTTGATCTAGTGGGTGTGGCTTCAGGTGTATTTGTGGGTGTGGCTTTTGAAACGAGCTCAAGTTGTGCGGTGACATTCAGTGGAAGTGAGTATGGTCTACCACTAGAGTCAGTTAGTTGGACTAGGACGGTGTGTGGTTGGTTGACTGTGGCTGATGTTAGACCAGGTCCACTGACCTGACATGTGTAAGAGTGCTGGGACAGACAGAGAGCGAAGAGTGAATAACAAGTGAAAACCTTGTGTTTGGCAAACTATAAGGCAATGTCTAACATGGCTATGTATAGTTATAGCAATAGAGCTGCGAAAAAAAACGCTACCTTATACTCTGACTTGAAGGAAAAATCAGAGTCCAGCATTGCTAACACACACTATCTTTGAAGAATCTCCAATCGTTGTCACGTGCCCCAATGCCCCGATCGACCAACGTACAAGACTGCAAGTCAAATGAATTCAGTCTGAGTTCAAACCAAACGTGGATCCAAAGAGTTCGTACCAGTTCAGGTGCCAGAGCAATAGTGTTTTGAACACAAGGATTACCCCCAAGGCTCTTCCATGGACGAGGCCACACCTGTTTAGACATATGCAATGTGTACACCGTTCAAATCGGTGCAGCTTTAATAGCAAACGAGCGTTACTTTCTCGCTGGTAGGCCAAGTGAGAGCCCAGGGAAGACGTTGACATGACAGTGGTAAAGGGACGGGAGGTGGTATCAAAGGGAGGAGGAAGGGGCTGGAGGAGTGTGACGATGGGGACTGACCTTGACCGTGCGCCCTTCCCACACCCCAGGGAGTCTGTGCAACATCCGCTATGCATGCACAGGCAATTTAGAGCCTAGAACTCAGCAGCGTTAGAGAGTCCACGCATCGACCAATTCCTATCATTAGGCAAATTACGCGCGCTCAGCTCCGTCGACCTCAACCCGTCGTCGTCGGCCCGTCGTTCACAGAAGGTGAGCCGTCCGCGACACCTCGCACTAATGTGCATAGGGACATCAGGCAGTGGAGACGCAGCGCAGCCATGACGCATCTGCCCAGGATATCCGCATGTGGCACGGGCTGGTCCATTTTGTCAGTGACCACGAGCTAGGACTGCTGCAATGTGTCTACACTCTCGCAAAACTCCATCCCACCACCACGGCCAACGGTGAGGTCACATGGACGACGCACGAAGCCAATGACCTAATTGCAGACGTCATGTGACCGCACGTGCCAGGCCAAGGCCCCATGTGCGGTGCGAGCGGACCCGCCTCACTCGTGGCACAGGGTGACAATAAAGGACACACCCCCGCAATGTCTGGCTCCTCCAAAGTGTAGAAGGGCCAGACTAGAGTTAAATAACAGCTTATATTCAAGAAGCTGGATTGTTTGAAGTTGGACCAAAAGTAAGAAATGACAGTAGTCTTGCTGCACAAATGTATGCTATTTTGGTTGCTTTTGAGTCCGCAGAAGACTGTCGAGTGGATGACAAAGGAGGAAATTTGCACAATTTTACTCACATTCTTATAGTACCACACATACCCTTACACATTCAGGTGTGTGAAATTAGAGCTATACTGATATTCATAGCCAGTGAATTGAGGCTTATACCTTCATGACTGACCTTTCCCCCCCAGTTGTTGCTGAAGCAGAGCTATCTCCCTGTCCTTGGCCTGCACTACTCAGTCTCCTGCAGTCAGGAGACCTCTAGTCACACACACACACTCCACACACTAGACTAACTCTCTGTCTCATCTCCTGATTCTGCTGCTGCTCTCTCCTGATAGTCTCCTCTGCCCTCGCCACCTCTGCCTCCTTTCTTGTCAGCTGTGTCTCCTGCAGAAACCAAGAGGGAGAATGTTGAAGAGCAATCGCATCACGACTTTGTAAAAACGTCTGCTAAAAATGCTAAACACTAGCTTTTTATTTACCTTTTGTATCAACTGTTGCCGAGTTTCAGCCAAGTCAACTTCCTTTCTTGTCAGCTCTGTCTCCTGCAGAAACGTGAGAGAGTGGCAGTCATGCCTAAAAAAAAGGGTGAATACTCACTTTTCTTGTCAGCTCTTGTCTGAGTGTCTGATTCTCCCTCTCAGTTGCTTGCAAATGTTCTTCCTGCGATCACAAAACAACACAACACTTGACTGTGCCACTTAAATCATCTTTAAGACTCACATTACGTCTCAATTGCTGCTGTGCTGCAGCTAACTCAGTCTGCACACGTGACTGGAGATGAGCATTCTCTGTCACCAGGTCTCGGAGAACACGCTCCAAATTCTGGTAGAATAACAAGAGTTTTTGTCAACACATCATCTCATACCTAATGAAAAGCACTGAAGTGCAAACCCATGGCGTATTATGACGCGCACGCGTAAGTAAACGCATGCGCCGTACCACTAATTGATGGGCTGGGTTTAGTTTTAGCTGTTACTCGTGGTCTCTTGCCAGCTCGTGCAGAGTCTGACGCGGGCTAACTACACTACTAGATAGCATGCGAGAGGCGATACACGCCCTGCGCTGCATCTTCTGGTGCCTCCGAGGTACGCAGAGCACGCGGATCGATCATACCGTAGTAAGCCGTTGTGTATTTGCATATTGGCTTTTAGCGCTCCAGCTTTGCAACGAGAGCGTTTTCAGCGAAATCTGTTCGAAATTTCTGACCTTCATTGCCCGTTCAGTAGGTGGTATCCTTTGTGAGACGAACGAACACTCGAGAAGTGAGATGGACGAGTAACAGACAGACACACACAAACCCAACTACCGTAACCCTCGCTGCAGATGCGCGCCGAGGGTTAATGAGTGTACAGTCCCTCACCTGGTTCCTGGGCTGGGTCTGAAGAGCTCGTACCAGTTCACGTTTGTTCCTCTCACTCCCTTCATCTCTAAACACCAGCTCTGGCCTCCTCCAACAGACGAAGCACTTCACGAATACCTGGCCTCTTGGAGGGAAATTGTGCAGGCATTGCTGGATCAGCCGAATGAGAGGGTGGTCCCCACGGAGCTGGCCACAGGCACGGAGTTGCTCGTTTACATATCGCATGTACTCAGCGCGTCGCTGTAGTTCAGTTCGACCTAACAGCACTCCACTCTTTTCGTCAAAGTAGGTGTGCTCTAGAGGATCACAGGGGAAGACTTGACCGATTGTGAAAATGGTGACAACTCCAAGAGAGAAGACATCGATACTGGCATCGTATTTCGACTTTTCCGTATTCGATCGAGTTGGTGCAAAAGCCTCTGGAGGCATGTAGACTAAGGCCCCAGGTCCCTTTGTCATGGTGGCTGCAGCTCTCACACGAGGAACGATACGAGCCACGCCCAGGTCCGCTATCTTGGCCACCATCTCCGAGTCCAGGAGAACGTTTCTGGCCGACAAGTCGCGGTGGATGACGGGCGATGATCGCTCGTGGAGGTAGGCTAGGCCACACGCTACGTTGTGCAGTACGGAGCACTTGAGAGCCATGGAGAAGAAAGATAGCGGTGTGACGGCGCCGGACGGAGGGGGCGTGTCCGGAGCCAGCAAGTCGTGAAGACTCGTCAGCAGTCGCTCCATGACGAGGGCTGGCAGTCGCGAGCCGGGAAAGAAAGCGACGCCAAGAAACTGGACGATGTTCGGGTGGCGGAGGGTGCTCATAAGCTGACATTCCCTCACGAACTCGGTCGAGGCTTTGGCTTCTCGCAAGAAGGCGTAGATTGTTTTGGCGGCGGCCCCTACAGAAACGACCACCTCCTCCACTTCGCCGTAGGCTCCGCTGCCGATTTTGTGACCAGTGAGCTGGACGTCGGAGAGAACGAAGGGCCTCAGCCCTGGATGCTCGCGAAGAAACTCTTCCGCCATTTTTGTGACCTAAATATACGAGCCCCACCCTAACATTGTGCGCATGCACCAGTAAAAATAATACTAGTAGGTGAATGAATGGAATTTTGGGGCGAGCGGGAGCGAGCACACAATGACTGTATCTGCATTAGCCATCCTAGCCTATTTACAACTTCAACCTTAAAGAGGTATATACAGCCTCGGAAGAGCGCAGCGAATGCCAGCGAATAGACGAGAGTTCTTTCACTGAGATTTCACATCGATATGACAGCTAGGCAACGTGTAAAGAATATGCGCGTTCCCTGCTCAGGAGTCTCACTGACACGATGTTCTCTTTCCCTCTCTCTTCGACGACGAATGGCTTCCTCTCAGACTGATGCGAGAGTATATACGGACGCACGGCAGCATGTGAAAGTTTGAAATCATTTCGGATAAAAAGAAGGGCGTAATCCTGGAGCATGCGCACTTACACGGCGTACGCGGGTCGTAAATAAATAGAAAAATCGCGCCGTTTGGACCACTAGGTTAGCTCGCTCCCGCTCGCCAATTAGCGTTCCTTGGACGCCATGGGGATCTGCTTACATAAACAGAAATTGATGTATAAAGTATTAGTGCCTAGTATTTCAACCCCCATATAAATTCTTATGGACTTATGGAGGCTCTGGACACATTTGTGTCCGTGGTGGCAGGTTAAGCTTTACTCACACATTACACTACAATTTTACAGCATGGATTTTGGTTGGCTGCTGACATGTAGGTACACACAAAATTGGTTGTGTTGTGTGTTTGACTAGCACGACTAACTTCTGCAAGTGCTTTAACGTGTTTTCCTGGTTCATGTACACTAGATGTATGTTTATTTCCACATCTGACTAGTAATGGGAACCGTAAGGTTTGGAGGTGCGATAGACTTCCTGGGGGGTCAGTGGGCGGGGATTGAACTGGACGACGCTGTCGGGAAGAACGACGGCTCTCTCAAGGGAATCAGGTTCTTCACCTGCAAACCCAAGTTTGGTGAGTTTGTGATGGAGTGGGCAAGCATGGGGGACCAAATTTACAACTTTGATCAGTTGTACCATGTACATATATACTGCTGCCTCATTTTACTAGGCATACACCCCATCTTTACCTTCTCTGTGATTTCACACCCTCCCCTCTCCCTCTTTCTCTGCCATCTTATTTACCTTTCCCCCCTTTTTACTTGCTCCTTCTCCCTCCCTCCCCCCCTCTCTCCCAGGTCTCTTCGTTCCGATGCAGAGAATCTCCAAGGCTCCAATGAGGCAGTTGTCCACAGAGAGAAGGAAAAAGATGGCCGCCAATGGAGGGAGAAAGAGGGAGTCTGTTCCTCTCTCTCCTCGCACCTTTGAGGCTCAGGGAACCATGGCCGTCTCAACTGACCTACAGGTCCCTTTCTCTCTCTCTCTTCTTCTACTTCCTGATATTTGGACCTCCGTTTCTTGCAGAAGCATTGCAAAAGCGCCACCATTTTTGCAGAAGCGCCACAATTATTTTCATTTTCTGAGCCGTGAATACTTAATGCTTGCATGTGATTTTTGCCAGTAAAATGGCTCACGGGCACAGGCATAATGGTTGAGGGTGACTATGAAATAGCTTGCGGGCTACTTGCTCTAGCTATAAGCTGAAATAGCTTGCGGGCTACTTGCTCTAGCTATAAGCTGAAATAGCTTGCGGGCTACTTGCTCTAGCTATAAGCTGAAATAGCTTGCGGGCTACTTGCTCTAGCTATAAGCTGAAATAGCTTGCGGGCTACTTGCTCTAGCTATAAGCTGAAATAGCTTGCGGGCTACTTGCTCTAGCTATAAGCTGAAAGAGCTTGCGGGCTACTTGCTCTAGCTATAAGCTGAAATAGCTTGCGGGCTACTTGCTCTAGCTATAAGCTGAAATAGCTTGCGGGCTACTTGCTCTAGCTATAAGCTGAATAGCTTGCGGGCTACTTGCTCTAGCTATAAGCTGAAATAGCTTGCGGGCTACTTGCTCTAGCTATAAGCTGAAATAGCTTGCGGGCTACTTGCTCTAGCTATAAGCTGAATAGCTTGCGGGCTACTTGCTCTAGCTATAAGCTGAAATAGCTTGCGGGCTACTTGCTCTAGCTATAAGCTGAAATAGCTTGCGGGCTACTTGCTCTAGCTATAAGCTGAAATAGCTTGCGGGCTACTTGCTCTAGCTATAAGCTGAAATAGCTTGCGGGCTACTTGCTCTAGCTATAAGCTGAAAGAGCTTGCGGGCTACTTGCTCTAGCTATAAGCTGAAATAGCTTGCGGGCTCTTGAAATGAGCGTGACTATGAAACTCCGACCCACCTAGTTCCTGAAAATGTACTATATATGCTCGTCCTTCCAATTTCCAACTGAACTCACACCATGATGCAATGCTCCACAGGTAGGAGAGAGAGTCAGTATTGAAGGCAACGGGACCGGAACTCTGAGATACGTCGGCAGTGTCAAGTTTGCACCCGGGTAAGCAGGTACAGTACCGCTCAAAAAAATAGTACCTACACTCTTGGTTCGCTCAAGGTACGGTACCTTTACGGTCCGGAACTTTAACTTTTTTTTGAGCGCTACTGTTGTACTTCAGCAAACGTTTCACAAGTTGCAGAATTAGACTAACTGAAGCTACGTGTATTTTGTGCCCGTCGCCTTACTGTTACTGCCGCACTTCACTGCACAGTTTAAAGCATGGATTATAGGTACTTTGGTGGTTAGATACACACTGATTTGGTGTTGTGCTTGACTAAAAAGGCCTAGCTTCTTTTTAATATGTATGGTTATAATTCCACATCTGCAAGATCCCTATTTGGTAAATTACGAAACTGAAAGATAGTGTTGTTTGTGTGTCAGGATCTGGATGGGAGTGGAGTTGGACAGCGGGGGAGGCGACAACTCGGGGTCTCACACCGGAGTAAGATACTTCAACTGCAGACCCGCCCACGGGGTATTCCTACCTCCCTCCAAGGTCAAAAGGTCAGCTGAGAAGATGTACATTCAGTAGAAATTGTGCAGCAACTGCGTCGTAGTACGTTTAACCCACACACACCCCACACACCTCTCTCTCTCTCTCTCTCCATCTCCAGACTCTCTCCTGCACCAACAGCAGCAACCTCCAGTGGCTCCTCTACCAACAGTGGCCCAACTACTGATTCCACTGACTTCCCAGCCCACTCCTCCTCCTCCTCCTCCTCCTCCCCTCGTCCCTCTCCTCCCGTCAACAAACGAAGACTCAACACCTCCAACACCACAAAGTCAGTATATGCTTTCGTGGGAAGGTAAAGAAATGGCAGAGGGGAACTTTAGGCAAACGAGGCATAAGGAAAGTAAGGGGAAGTATATATATGTGCACTAAAGCTCACACAGCCACTTTATAACAAACACATAAAACACAATTGGCTGTTGAACTTATGAAAAAAGGCCACCAGTAAAAACACAGTGAGCTGGACGTCGGAGAGAACGAAGGGCCTCAGCCCTGGATGATCGCGGAGAAACTCTTCAGCCATTTTTGTGACCTAAATAAATATGAGCCCCACCCTAACATTGTGCGCATGCACCAGTAAATGTTCTACCAACCCCTTGTTCTGGAGTATATATATTATAATGTAGTGTTCAAACTATAAGTCTGCTTTCTTTTC